CGTGCAGCGGACATATTTGGCACCTTTGTCTAATGATGAGATAATACTGTTGTGTAAGACGGCTGCAGCGTCTAAAGTACTCCTACCCTGTCTGTAGGCAAATTGTTTGGGGTCTTCGAAGCTTTTAAGGGAGGGTTCGAGTTTAAGAAGTACTAGTTTTTCCATGAGCTTTAGAAACGGGGAAGTGATGGCGATGGGTCTGAACTTTACGTTCTTGCTATTTCCAGGTTTAGGGACAGGGACTATTTTAATGTCTTTCCATGGAACAGGTACAACGTTTTCACGGAAAGAAGCATTTAGGATATTAGTTAGAGGAGAACATAAAGCATCTGCACATTGTTTTAGAACATATGCAGGTATGCTATCAGGGCCAAGACTATGTGAGGGCTTAAGAGTTTTAAGACATTTCAAAACATCGAGAGTATTGAAGTCCTGGAAGTTATCAGCTACAAGATTGGTAACGTTAGAAGTGGTTATAGTAGAAGGAGAGCGTATAAAAGACAGATTAAGAGCATTAACATCACAAGAGGGAAAAACATTACATCGCTTACTTTTGCCAGTAATTTCATTGAAAAGTTTCCACATGCTGTTAGGAGATTTGCATGATAAAAGTGTTTGGTTATAGATAGCATTAAGATTTTTGATTTCAGATTTGATTTGAGCATTAATCTTTTTAAGTCCTAACTTGTCTTTGCATTTATATAACATTTCTTTTTGCCTGCGAAGTTGTTTGAGACGGGGAGACGAGAAGCGGTCGAGGCGTTTGAACAGTGTTTGTTTGGGACAGCATATGTCGAGGCAGAACTTAAGATAATCCATTATATTGGTGATTGAGTCATCTAATGTACTTTCATAGAATAGATCCCAGTTGGTATCTTTTAACATGCATCTTAGATTGAGTAAGTTGTCAGATGTGTAGCATCTTTCTTGTGCTTTCGTAGACAGGTGTGAGAAGATTTTAATATGTGTTTTGCTGTATATTTTTGGCAAAACGCGGACAATGCAGTGATCGGAGTTATGTATCGGTGAACGTCTACGTGTTTCATATACTCCTTCGTCATTAGTAAAAACGAGTCGAGTGTTTTGTCAAGTCGAGTGGGAAATTTGACTATGTTTGTGTGACCAAGAGCTTCAAGAAAGGAACAATCCGATGTGTTGAAGTCTCCAGTAATAACGGATAGAGAGTTGTCGAAGTTGGCAGCAGCAAACATGGTGAATTCATCAGCAAAATTAGATAGATCAGATGGAGAGCAACTAGGAGAAATGTACATGTTTGTAATATAGAATTGTTTATACTTGGGGAGGTGTTTGGGGCGACATTTGACAGTAATACAGTCAATGAAGTCATTTGAGAAGGTGAAGCAGACGTTATTTGAGACAGACCATTTGGAGTGAATAAAAGTTGCAACGCCACCACCATTTTTCTTATTACAACATTGACGGTCTTGACGAAATAAAATAAAGTCCTTTAGTGAGATAAGGTTGTCATCATACAGTTCATGCAACCACGTTTCTTGTAATGCGATTATGGCGGTGTTATGATACGTATCAGTTGACATCAGGGATTGTAGGTACATTATCTTATTTGGCAGAGAGCGACAGTTTGAGTTCATTATGACGGGGACCGTAGTTAAGTGTATTGGTGTACGTTTGAGAGCTCTCTGCCAACCACTACGATGTTTCCTTCTTGGTTTCTTTGGAATATGAAAGTCATTTGGTCGTAAATCATTAATAAAGTTACGAGAGTAAATGATTCTGTTAGAATTCATATTTAAGTGATAAATGTATGCTGGTAAACAGTAAACTGGATGCAAAATGTAGATATTTTGGTAGCAGGCCCAAAAATTCGAACAGGCCGCCAAGGTCACGTGAAATGTTGTATCATGCATGATTCCTCACACTACCACAACAAACACTGCATTAGTGCTGACAATAAAAAAAACACAACCTGAAATGTTTATTTTATGATTGTTCAGTGTTGTTCAATCAAATTAACTGATCATCTTGGCTATAAACATTCTTAAGAAAATCTCATGGCTTCTTGTATGATTATAGCTGTTACTGTTCACCACGCATACACATATCGTAGCTTCCACTAACCAATACTGAAATATTTTTTCATTATTTGTGTTTATCTTCCTTTTTACTTGGTATTTTTATTTGCATTTTTTTGTTATTTCAGTTTCTTTTTTTGGTTTTTTATATATATATATATATTTTTTTTATAATACTTCTTTTAAATGTGCGATGAAATTAGATGCAATATTGTAGATATGTGCTGAAAATTCCACACTGTACCACAAGTACTGTTTCTGGAATAAAGCGAAATTGTTATTGTTATTGTTAAAGAACTTGTAATGCTGATAAACTACAAGTCTTATTTTCTACATTACGAACGGCTGTGATTCCTCAATTCAAATGTGAAGTACTTAGATTAGCCACCTCCAGTTGTATCTGCCGAATCAACTGAGCTTGTGGAGCGAGTTATATTTGCCGCTGCCCTAGGAACTTGCATTTTCGAGCTCAGAAATATCTACCAGTGTAGCTAAGCAAACCATCAACAGTTCAATACTAGACCACCTGATTCAAACCGGCCACAAAACAAACATTGAAGAATCCTTCTCCATCATCATCAATCAGGTACCTAATAAATTTTCAAAGACATCCAGGTATTGCTTACTCCAAACAGCAGAAGCTATCACACTTTGCCTTAAACAAACGATGCTGTATGTGCAGAAGAAACAGGTTCAACCAGCCACCATTACTGCCCTAAGCTTCAATGGAGACTATAAATTCATGAAATTGTACTATTATCTTTCCCAATTTGCCTGTCTGACATTAAGTGTATTGTTATTTTGATGCTGTTGAACTGTGTTCTACTGATATTATTGATTCACCGTTATTTAAACAACAATAATGCTGGAAAAGCATATTCTTTGAATATAGAGAAAACAGAGGTGATGAAGATTCCTGGCCAACAGCGACAGCAACAACAACAACAGACCACATTCAACCAGGATAAATGGGAGGAACCTGAAAGAAACAGCCTTCTTTAACTACCCACCTTCCGATCTGAGAAGCATCGTTTCCACTACAGGGGAATGGGACTGACGAGGATATCAAAGCCAGAATCGGAAAAGAAAGACAAGCTTTCATTACTCTCGTCAAGTCTGTGTGCAGGAGGTCAACATCACTACTCAGAATCAAAAATGAGATCCGGATTTTCAACTACAATGTGAAGTCAGTCAGCGCTATTATACGGATGGATCAGAGACTTGCACTGAGCGTCATAAACAGCATCTCAAACAAACTTCAGACCTTCATCAACAGCTAGTTGTCTTCGCTCAATACTCTCTGAAGATCAGATGGCCGGCTGGTCAGAAAAGACCAGCAACAGGGAGGGATCTCTGTCAATGAGCGAACAGCACAACACAGCAGGAACCGATTGTGAAACAAATAGGCAGGAAGGAATGGAGATGGATTGGCTGGCCATACTCTGAGAAAGGAAACCATCAAGTGTTGTGACATCACTAGACAAGCCATCGCTCGAGTGGAACCCGAAAGGAAGCGGGCGGTGAGTTGGTGGTTCAAGAATGAATTGGAGGAGGTCATGTGAAGAGGAGATGAAAGCATGTGGGCAGACTTGGAGCGGGGTGAAAATGTTGGCAGAAAACCGAACTCAATGGAGACGATCAGCTGAAGCCCTATGTTCCTCTAGGAATGAAAGGATATAATAATAATATTCTTTCTTCAGTAACCATTCTTCAATTTCAATCTTAGGATCGGAAAACTGACACAGGCCTTCATTACTCTAAAATTAATGCAGGGATTAACAGCATTTACAACATCTGAATTTGCAACAGTAATATCAAATCAATGCTAGCGCTATAAATTGTGTTCGAAACGTCATCCAGTCATTAGTAATGTATCACTCATTGTGAGTGCATATATTATCCCAAACACACTAAGCTAATATGCAGTGATGCTCTAAAATAGTGCTCAAATTCTCCCATTACATTATCTCCCTCACTAAGTTGACAATCAGTGTTTTCTCAATAGGAAATATAGACACGTGACTTTATGAAAGCAACATTAAGGGGTTAAAAAGTTAAGAACTCAATGATTTCAATGCTTCAGTCTGATGGGCTGAAAGAAAATATGTTGGCTGTATAACAGGGGAATTCATAATCAGTCTGGAATCAGGAATAAGATGGTTGGAACGCTTACTTCGTTTCTGTCGTTCTATACTGTAGGCAAAGTCTAATTCAGGGCTTTCAGTGACCACATATCCTTAGTTCTTGTACTATTATTATGCCGATGGATTATAACTTTCTGTGTTGATGTCAGAAGCCTGATCAAAATAAAACAACATGGAATGTATGTTTTAATTTTAGGCGCTTAGATCTATATGGATTTTTGACGAATAGAACTCCACAACAGAGCAACTTGTACTTGTGAACCTGTGATGTGAAAAATCAATCCCTTTCCATGGACCTTATCATTATCATTACTACCTTGTTTTACTAGAATGATGTAAGGCTTCAGCTGCACACCCAGATTTCACACCCACAGGGTGTCAAATGTGGGTGTGCAGACTTTTTCATGTGGCACAACGATTTTTCGTAGGCTTTCATTTCCTACTCATACGATCTCCTCCACATAAACCGCGGACGCCTAACTCAGTGTTTCCTGTCCACCTCCACTCTGAGGGTTCGGAATTTGATGCCATTCAGCACTCTACTCAGGGGAGTATGTTGAATGTATCTCCATCTCCTTCTCAATTTTTATTTGTTAGGAAATCAGTTATTGATTAATTTGTTGCTAAAGTTCCTCGGGGCTATTCCTCTTTGGTCAGCTATCTGATACTCAGGAGGGAGCAAAGGCTTGGGTTGATGAAATTCTTCAGACCGTTGGATATATATATATATGGTGTTACAATAACATAGACGATGCTGTCTTAGGCATGAAATACCTACCATTTTTGTACTTCTTTTATTTAGTTGGCGGTGGGACATCAGGTTCAATTATCGTTAGAAAGCTTTGGGATGGCTTTCAAAGACATCAGTGTAAATCATTTCATCAAGCGGCAAGTTCAGCTCCGCTGGCTACAGTGTGTATACGTCAAACACTGTTCAGTAACAATGACAGTCAGATGTGTCAGCCATTGTGTTTCACCCATCAACCGAGAATTCTGCTTCTGGAGTCTGGACCAAGAATGAGTTGGTTGACAAAGAAAATGAGCGATACACCTCTGTTCACCCCATTGCTTTATGGACGAGGAATAGATACCACTTATCAGACAACATCACAAAAGTCTGCAGCTTTACAACTGAAAAATAATGTAATACCTTCTGAACGTAATTGTTTTTCATTGTACTACATATGAGTACGTATATCAAAACGTAAGAAATGTTGTTATCTCAGATCTGCAGTAGTGAGACGATCAGGTATAAATACGACGAATCTAACCAAAACATACACTTATCACTATGACCGAGGTAAACTAAGGGAACAACACTGTGAAAGAAGTAGCTGGGAAAACCGTCAAAGTACTTCTTTATTCATATTCAGAATACAAGCTTCCACAAGTCAGTGATTTATAATTTCAGGCTATGAATGTTAGTCGTGTTTTCAGAGAAATTCAGCCAATTGGTTTACTAATTCACATTGTGGCGTGTGCAATACAGATACAGACTGATAGGAAATAGCCAAAAATTGAAATCACTGTTTGTAGTCTACCGCTGCTGTTGAGATACAAGTGTTTATTCCTCAAATCTGGATTAAGTTCACACTGTAGTCTGTAAGTAATCTCACTGAACGACTTTTCCTCCTCCTACTTTTCTTTCGGTCAATCACAAACCGGTCAGAACACTTAATTGTCATCTGATATAGCCGATGTCTAATGTGGTTAAAAATGTATAAATATGATGTGTTTTTCTTATCTTCCGCCATTACATTTGGTGTCGCCACCTTCGGATAATGAAGATCCCGTGGTCTATTAATTTCGAAGAATGACACATACAGAGCTTTGTGCCGGACTTTGGTGCTGTCGCTGAGTCGGTGGGCATTCAGGATCTGGTGATGAAGACAGTCGTGCTAAGGGCGCTGCTGAGAGTTCGAGCACAGGCGGCATATAACAGTGTGTGGTGGTCAGGGGATGAAGAGACCTGGAAGGTATTGGTCGGACGACTGGTGCAGGAGATCGACAGCTTGACGGACAGAATCCAGGCAATGCAGCAGCCTCATGTCATAAACTATAACTGGACGGAAACCAGATGGTACTGGTGATGAAGCTGACAAATCTAATTCGTCAGGCGCTTCCCATACTTGATGGAAAGTCTGCGAAGCGACACTCTGCGTCCCAGTTTATCTAAAGTGTCCCCGAACACACTGTGCAGCACTCACAACTTATCATCAGCGAATTCAGGAAGTTGGCAAGACAAATACAGAGTATAATGATAGCCACAACTGAGACTCTGATATCAAACCAGTAGGAACAGAAAATTGAGAATTTGCAGTGCAAATTAAAGGCGCTACAAATGAATGCCAAGAAAGAAAATTGCTTTGAATGCGGTAAAACCACGAAATTGTAGACGATACTGCTCAGAAAGATCCAGAAGAAAATATTTTGGACATTATAATGTGTTTTCTTCTTTGATAAGACCAGAAGTAAGGGGACGCAACTGAGACGAGGTGGCATTTATTCTAAGTTGTGTGTGAATGGACACAAGGTAATCGGGTTCATCGCTAGTGAAAAGCAATATCGGTTTAAACTCATGCTCCTTGGTCTGTTAAGTACATCATTTACATTCAGACAACTAATGACGACGTTATTTAAAAAACACACCTTATTTATACGTTTCTAACCACATTAGACATCGGTTATATCAGCGGACAATTAAGTGTTCTGACCGGTTTGTGATTGACCGAAAGAAGGAAATCTTAATGCTCACTGGTGATTGGCTGTAGGGCAAAGTTGCTTAGGGGCAATTCTAGTAAGAAAACTTGATCAACGGGATCCACTCGGTCAGGAATGAGAACAAATACTTGCCGATGAAATCAGTGACTGGTGATCGGGATAAAAACAGGAACTTTTAGAAGTTAGAATTCATGGTCCATTGAATCGGATCCCCGTAACTGAATGGTTTACGACGTGGTCTGTTTTTCTTTCTTAAATGACTCTGACGGAACTAACTTTGTTGTTAAGTATATCGATAATCTGACTGTCTTTTTTGCTTGTTACCTCCCATTCAGACTGTTCCAAAACGGATATCTTTTCATCATAAATTAACTGGTGATCCTTTTCAAATGGTCTTAGGTAGAGAATCCTTCTAAACATCACTCTCAGGCATATACTATATTCACATGAGTTGTTTGGTTTCCATGATTAGTGTAACATAGAGAGTACGGAAATAGAAATTAAGTCTAGTGTTAAATACCTTGGACTAGGTTTTTCCCTTGATCTGTTATGGCCATCAAACATCCTGTTTACTTCAAAAAAAAAGAATACTTTATCCAACCTTCTACCCAAGGAGGTTCCAGACAGCCTGGTTTCTACTCAGTGTCTACATTTCTAGTTTGATAACTCTTGTATTCTACTTCAAATCTTTCACCCTCGCTTTGTCCAAATGTAAGGCGAAAATTATATGCAGTGTTGTACTACATGCTGAGAACTCCACACTGTATCAAAAATAACTGTTTGGAATAGGACTATTATTATATTCGTCATTAGCAATTATTAATGATTTTTTTTATTGACTTCATAGGTGATTTTCTTACCTCATGGAAGTGTTTTGGGTGGAACAGCACTACTTAATGCAATGATATTTACCTGTGGTCATCCAGATGACGAAGTGGTTAGGGAATTTCTGAAAAATGATCCGGAATTTTTTTCAACACTGTTCGACGGTAAAAATGAAGGTTTGTCACTTACATATGTACAATTCCTAATAAATTACTATTAATTCTCTTAGGTTCTGATGAGTGGAACATAGTACTTCAGCAGAACACCTCCATATCCTCCTGTTTTCTGAAATCCTCTTCATCCGTTTTCACTAATTCCCATAGTCTCTCATCTCCCCTTCATACTGTCTGCTACACGACACTATCAAATCTACGCCAAACTCGTTGTTTCACATTTCGGCACTGTTCAAGGACCTGCAGTGCAATACCACCTGACCGTCTTTTTAGCAAGTATCCTGTTCGTTTCCACTCTCTTCGGGTGTATTTTTTGAGCAGTAGATTGTCTTGGTTGTCTCCTTCTCAGAGTTTCTTGTTGTTAATTGTTCCTCAATGGCCATCTGATCTTCAATATGGGCCGAAGGCAATTTGTAATACAGAAGAATAATCAATCCAAAAATGTAGATTAATCTTCACTGTCAAATGTTGGTTTTCAGGAATTTCATGGATTTCAAGTTCGCTCACGAACCGACATTATTTAGAGAACCATTTCAAACCAACCAGTACTGGACAGCTGTTCCTGTTGTCCTAAGTTGAAACTCTGTAGCAGTAAAACACCCAGCACCTTCTGGTTAAGAGGTGGTCCCACTTACCATTCAGCTACCTGAATGAAATTCAGTTAGGAAAAATACTCTTCAATAGCACGGTCTGACACTGATGCCATCTGTCGCAAGTTGACAGTAGTTGGAATTCGTGGACCATCAGACTCCGTTCCAGTGTCTAGACAACCATTGTGCTCACTTTGTAACTTGCAGGTCCTGGTTTCTACCCTCGATTAGAAGAATTATGAGTACCGTTGAAGAGACCCTAACTAGGACAACAGGAACATCTGTACAGTACTGCCTGGTTTAAAATGGTTCTCTAGCCGATCTTTGTTGTTGTTCTGTTAACTGAATTACAGTCCCTTCCATCCTAAAGTAAACTTACTCAGCACTTCGGATGATAAACTTCAGGCTTACAAAACACATCATGTAGACTGTGCAGTCAGAGATGATTAAGGAACGGGGTAGATTTAACCTCAAATTTCAAAAACACTCTGCAAACTTTTTCTCAGACAGAATAATTAGAGTGTTCGTCGATTACCAGCCTCATTTCTTTTCACGAGTTTCATGTAAAAAGTTTCACACAAATTTTACGGGATAAAATATGAATGATAGGGACAAACAGAGTTTTTTAACTCATTGTAACCCACAAACAGTCGCCTGTTTTCTCTTGAAAATGTCAAATGCTCCAGAGGTCATCAACATTTGACAGAGATAAGCAAGTGATCCACAACGGAAAACTCAGCGATGTCCTTGAAATGAAGACAAGAGTGAGACAAAATCAACTTATATTACGGAAAATATTTCAGATTGTAGTGGACTCGATTATGCGGAACACCGTATGTGAGGGGGGAATACTTTGAACCGTTAAAAACACTCTAGAAGATATGAAGTTCTCTGACGATTTTGGTCTGATGATACATAAACTTGAAGACTTACAGACAGAAAACGACAGGTTGGCACGAAAGACACGCACTGAACACAGGACGTCAAGTGAACACAAGGAGGACGTAATTGATGAAGACAACCAGCCGACTGATCACAACAATGAGTACCAATCACTATCAGTGGGAGAAACTTGAAAGAGGAGGCCACTGAGTGACATCGCGCCCCAGGGCCTTGAGTGGAAAGTAAACAGGAAACGACGAGTTGGCTTCTGTCGAACGGTGACATGGAGGAAACATCGTGTAAAGAGAAGATTAAAACATATGGGGAATCATGAGGTCAGTTGAAGAGGACTGCGAAAAACAAAGTGAAATGAAGGTCCTGTATTCCTTTCGGAACCCAAGAGAATAAGAAGGAGAAGCATTCTGACTATTCAGTATTCATTGCACACTTTCTCTTATCAAAAAGGATCCACTTCAATGAACTTTACATATTTTTACGTATATTTCACATAATTTTCATAGTTTATTCGGTGATATTATATATTCTCTCCACCTTCTGTTTTTTCTTTTAATTTTCAAAGGATGTCAATTGAAACCTGAAGTAATTAATCACCAGCCATACAACCGACTGATTCATGAATATTTTGAGAAGGCCTTCAGTTTGAGAGGATCACAGGTGGATTCTTTTGGTTCAGCGTGTCAGTCTCACGAAGGACTTCATATTCCAATTGGTATGTTATGATACTCATATTTTAATTAAATGTTTGATTGTCATAACAACTAGTCTTAAGAATTGATTATGCATAACTTTTAAAAGTGTCGTGAAAACTTTACATCTTCCCCAGTTGCAAGACACCATTCTCTACAAGTGTTATGTTATAAACTATACAGATTGTTGTTGCAGTTGAGAAATGGGGAATGGCGAACAATATACAACGCGAAAGTACCTGGTTGTCAAGTAAGCTGTGTATTAAATTCATAGTGGATTCCGAGATCGGCCACGTTCTACCTGAATATCAGCCATAGCCTCACCCGAAACGGTTTCAGACCTGTGAAAATACTCACTTAAATACAGAAGAAATAATGTATATAATATTATTCCCTTGCGTTCGATATGGAAAATAGGGCTTCAACAACACATCTCCACTATGTTCTGTCTCCTGCTATTCTCTTCAGCTGGGTCCACTATTGACCAAACTCACTCAATCTCAAACTCACAAGAACTCCTTCATTGACGATCCACTCGTCGCTTGCCACTGGGATTCCACTCAAGTGATAGCATGGCATGCGATGTCACTTGGCGGCCGCCTCAATGTGTGACCAATCCATCTCCACTTTCTCCTACATCTTTGTTGAGCAATCGGCTCTTGGTTGGCTTGTTCACAGCCAGAGCTTCTTGTTGCTAATTCTTTCTGGCCGGCCGGCTGGCCATTTGATATTCATTATGGAGTGTCAGGTGAACGTGACAGTTGGGAAGCCTTTTCGTGACACACAGTGCAAGTTTATGACCCATATAGAAGAACTGACTTCACATTTGTGTTGAAAATCCCAATCTCGTTCCTTACGCTGAGTGAGAGCAAAATATTTCCAAACTGGTTTCATGTTGATGAAGGCGTATCTTGCCTTTCCGTCCGTTCCGACTTCCTGTAGTTGAAACGAGATGCTTCCTAGCTGGATAAGTCAAGGAGGCAACTTCTGTTGAATCTCCCGCGTTGATGGTGAAATAATGTGCTTCATAGATAAGGATGAAATTTATTCTGCTAGCTAAATGTACTACTGTCGTTCACATCAATAAATTTGGTCCATTGATTCCTTGAATAAAGCAAAGACAAAAGTCTTTGAAGAATAACATGACACCGACATTTATTCTGTCACTTGCTCATCAGTTTCATATAGACTAAAGAAATTATTTCATTTATGTGCAGAACAAGTGATAAATAATTGCGCTAGTTAGTTGCATAATGCTGGTTGACAAGAAATTACAGATTTAACAGACAGTGCTCACAAATTAAACTGATGTATACAAATGGTGGATGGTGGCTGGCAGTGGAATCCAGGATAGAGCGCATTTCGTCCTATTTGGGACTCGTGGTCAGCTGGATGTGCGTGCATTTCTCAGTGAGTGATGATGTTCCCAATGAGGCTCGAACCCAGTGCCCATAATTTCAAACGCCAAAGCGTTATCCACTAGACCACTTAGGTCACGAGAGCCGCCTCTTGTGCAACGGGTCATATTAATTATTGAATTGAATTGGGCACTGGGTTCGAGCCTCGGTGGGAACATCATCACTCACTGAGAAATGCACGTGCATCCAGCTGACGAGTCTCAAATAGGACGAAATGCGCATCCTGGATTCCACTGCTAGCCACCATCCACCAATTGTATACTAACTAAATGCCCAGACATCGTCGAGGCATCTGCACATGTCAACCTGAGATCAAGCACTTCGGTCCAATCAATCGACGGGAAAATCAAAAATTCAATTCAATAATTAAACTGATGTAGTTTATACTCAGAAAGTTCAAGTTTGAACCAATTTAAATGCATGTATACAATCACAAACGAGTTACATGATAAATAAAAGAGGTGAATAAGATGATTACTAAACAATAAATTGAGTAAAAATTTGATGAATTCAAATCAAACCATAGAAAGGAGAGACAAGCAAAGTTACACTTTAGCGAAGAGGGGAGAGATTAAAGACAAAGACTAAGCACTCAAATAAATGAGAGGGAGTAAAGACATCCAGTTATCAGCGCAAGGAAAGACTGATGATAACTGCTCCTTTCTGAACACATAAATCAGATTTCAGGGGTTTGACAGATATTGCCTCAGTGAGTTTGAGAAAAGTTGGTTTACATTGTCCATTGATGTTCTTGCGTTGGTGGCACAGTGGTTAGAACGCTCGCCAACCATGTACATGATCCGAGGTTCAATCCCCAGCCACCGACGCACTCCTTTACCTTGTCGTGAGAGCAGGCTGCTAGCCAATTAGTAGACATTAATCTACGTCAATGTCTAAGTCACTAATATTGGCCGTGAAAAAATGTGAACAAGGCTGATTCAACAACCAATCACAGCAGACTTAAACGTGGGCAAATATCATTCGCAGATAGATGGCTTCACTTTCCGAGAAACTCGAAAACAACCAATCACAAGACTGCGTATGTCTGCTTAACTTCCGAGAAACAACCAATCACAAGACTGAGTTTGTCTACTTGAATGAGCTCTAATAATGTACATAAAATATATAGATACGTGCTGATTTCCGTAATAAAGTGATCTGTTGCCTGCCCCTTGTCTTCTGTTGTTACAACCTCTCTAAGCCGGAAATAAAGCTCGTAAAGTGGAGAGGCCGGGCATGAGGCTAGCAATCCCATTCTGTAAAAACAAACACTGCTACAGAAACTTCAAGCCTCTAGGTTGAAGCTCTATGTTCCACTCGAAACGTGAAGGAATAAACAAAACCCTTAAGATCCATATCAACAAGATGTCTGGTAATAACATTGTTATAAGCATTTCTTCCTTTTAGGACGTAGGCTTCTTGGTACATGTTCAGTGAATCGAAGAAATACCCTTCTTTCTGTCCTCCTAATGTTACTGTTACTGTAGATACATGTAAACTTGTGCAAAAAATTAGAGTTAACATGAGAAGGGTATCTTCGACATTTGATTGCAGCAGACAGCACGTTATTAAACAAACGGAAAGCTACTTAGATGCAGGATACGCTCTGACTAGCGGGGTATTCAATTTTCTGTTAACTATTCCAGCAATTTTATCACCTTTAAATTTGAGGTGAATGAAGATAAGATTCTTTTCAACAAGGATTTGTCAAGCATTTAAACCTTCTCATCTCTACAAGCATGCTTGCTTCCTAATGTATTCAGAAGTTGTATGATAAGGAGTTTTTCATCTTTGACTAGAATTTTAGCTCAGTTTCTGGATTACCATATTTATATAGTGGTTGACGCAGGAGTGGAATTTAATCCCAGAATGTAATATCACACAATATCTGACTGTTTTGAACAAAACACATTATAAGGAAAGAGCTTATTTAGACCCCCAATAAGAAAACATTCATCTGAGAAAAACCTACTCTGTCTGGATGAGGCTATATACTACTGACGGAGAGATATGAGTGGTTGTATACAACTCGCATCAACCAGTAGTATTTGCTAGCCACGTTGAACGGATCCACATTCACTCCGAGCGGCTGTTTTTCTCGCATGAGGCGGACTTTATCATTGGTGCTCAAGTTTTGACTTATCTCAGAGACTCGACCCAGTTCAAATCAGCCAAATCTAGATTTTCGAAAATCTATTCACATATATGGGATCGCTACATAGATTAAGGGCATAAACAGTCCTTCCGAATTATTTCATGTTGTAATATGTATGTACTAGTGAGTGATATCAGTGAGTATTACTCACTCAGCTTAAAGATCCTAATCTCATCAAGTAGGCAAAATACCAGTTGGCAGGCTGGGTGGTCTGGTCCTAGGCAAATCTCTCAAATACCTAACATAATCATCTGTCATTCAGTGGTTTAATAAGTAGTCGTGCCATCTGTGAAGCTGTGGATATTCGCCTTTATTCGTATCAGCAATATAAGGAAGTCAGGGGAGACGATTACACATTGCGTGAATCAAATCGGAATGTACATACTGGACTACAATAATACTACTCATAATCATGTAATACATTAATATTATTACTCCGTTAGGTTCCTAGTAGAATATTGGGCTTCAGTGGTACATCTCCACTTTGTTCTGTTCTGTGAAATCCTCTTTAGCTGGCTTAAGGATTTTCCATAGCCCCTCAGCTGTCCCTTACAAGACCTCCCCAAGTCAACCTTGGACCAGCAGCAAATTTGCCGTTTCTCATTTGGGTTCAACTTGAGGGAATGACACGTGATACCGCTCAACTGATTCCTCAGCGTGTGTCCAGTTCATCTGTATATTCTTATCCATATTTGTTGATCAACAGATTCTTGTTTGGCTGTCCCTCAGAGTTCCTTATTGGTATATGGAGCCAGTAAAGACAGCCGTGAATGAAAGTCTACAGCTTTCCATTGGAAATGCCTTTGGTGACGTGCGCGCGATGTCTCTAAACGATATAATGAAGACACTAAATTGACATGTTTGTTAAAAATACAAACCTTGTACTTCATGCCCAGTGCAGTAAATCTCTAAAATGATTTCAGACTAATGAGCGTCAGTCTTGACTTTCCAGTCCCGCCTTTGATATCTTAATCTATACCTCCACTTAGATAAGTGGATGTGGTGACCTCTTTCGAATTTCTCCGGCTGATAGTGGCTGGTGATTGTTGTTGGTGGTGGTCGGGTGTCCTCATCAGCTCTGTCTTTTCTATGTTCACTTGAAATTCACCGGTTTTTGCTTCTCCTTCTTCTTCTCCCAGAATGTTGGTTTTCGCCTTTAAGTCTTCGAGTTTGTGTGGTAGCAAACATAAATCATCTGTGAAGACTAAGAGGCATGTGAAAACCAACAAACTGGCTGAAGAAGCTGGCAGCGAAGATAGGACTCCAGGCGAACATAGAAAAGATGGAGAAGGATGTGGTGAAGATAACCAACGAATAGCAGTGTCAGCAACAATTAGCACCAGTCACCATCAAAGGAGGTACTGCTCCAACCACAGGAATCGGAAATGGATGAAAACGTCAAAAACAGAATCGAAAAGGTAAGGTAAGCCTTCATCACTTTGAAATCAGTTTGGAAACCTTCTGCACTCAGAATAAGCTACAAGATTTGGATTATTCAACACAAATATGAAGTCAGTTAGCACTTCTAATATGGATCGGAGATTTAGCAAGTGCATCGCTAAAAGCATTCGCATCGGCGCGGTGCAGACTTCTGTTAGTGTCAGTCTTCACTGGTCCCATAGTGAAGATCAAATAGTTAGCCATAAAGAATTAACAACAAGAAAACCTAGGAACAAACCGACCATGAGCGTGTTGCTCAAACAAAATACGCAGAAGAAAACAGAGATAGACTGGTCATACACTCAGGATACCGTAGAATAACGTCACGCATCAGGCTTTTGAGTAGAATCCCAATAAGAAAGGTGGAGTGGGTCGTCCTACGGTGACACGGAGGAGACAGTGCGAAAAGGAAGATGAGAGATTTCGGGCAATAGTGAAGGCAGATGAAGAGGACGGCAGAAAATAGAACAAAGTGGAGACATGTTGTTGAAGCGCTCGTTATCTTCAACATGGAACCTAAGGGAATAACAATAATATCGTCAGTCATTTTGAGGCATTGCTGAGTTTTCCCTAAGCATCAAAAAATTCATATTATGTTTGAGCAGTCGAAAGGTTTGAGGCAGACTTTGAAGTATACGTTTCGCAGACAACATCTTATTTAAACAGTAATATTTGTTGATCACTCTAGATTTTACGTAAACTACCAGTTTTAAGACATTTATTTATAGAAGAGTTTTCCACACATTGATTGAACCATGTACAGAATACCACGAATAAAAATACTGAAATACATTCACACACGATTGTACCGAAATAAGCACATACACACACACACACGATAGCAACCATACTTCATATAGTTACTAGAATGGTCTGACCTAACATAAACCATTAATCAATCGTTGGTGCTTCACGTAATGCAGTATGTTTGTCATTAACACACAAACACACAATTTTCGGATTATTTCAAATTTTAAATTATTCACCATATTTTGTTATTACTGTTTTCTAGTTTTCGTTCGTAATGCTCAACGTATCAGCTCGTTCAGTGAATGCCTACTACCGCTGATGAATGAAAACCCCAAAGACTTAACAGTTATCACAGGCATACAAGTTGAAAAAGTAAAACATGTTACTGGAATATATTTACAATTATTTTGTGTGTGTGTGTGTGTGTGATCATTTTGCCTTCCAAATAGAATATAGGGTGACTTCAGTGTTTGTGCTATGAATTTTCAGTAGCAGTCGGTATTTTCCAAGGGTGTGGAGATCCTAGCTTCACGCTCAGTCTTTTCATTTTACCGCTACTACTACTACTACAGGTTTGAGAGACGTTCCCAGGAGTGTGTCAGCCTAGCCGGATTGAATCCAGATCCTTGGCTTGGCTGGCGAGTATCCTACCATTTGACCACTGACACACACGTCTACAGTTAGCAAGGTAGAAAGCAAAAGTCACTGAAGTAGTGCTGAGACTGTACAAAATAGCCAAGTGAATATGCCGTACATGTGGGTGTGTGTGTGTGTATTGGTGAGTGTGTTGGTGCCGGTGATCCGAGTGAAGCACTAATATATATTCACTGTATTCAATACCTCAGTTTAGGATCGCGTGCGAACACTCCGTTGGGGAGGAGATGATTTACTTTCCTATCGGATATCGGCTGGGATTAGTTTCACCTCAAAAGATCTAGTCATACCACTGATAATAATAATAATGTTTCTGAAATGCGAGAATTAAAGACCTCTGATTTCAACCGCGCTGTTTAATGGTCTTGAAACAATAGTCAAAAAACAAAATCAACTAATAATCGTGTGGCAACTTTCTAAAAAGAAATACGTTGGTCAAAATAAATGTACGAATATTAAGCTGACGGGGTCACACACACATCACAAAATTATATAGGCACTATTAAAATACACACACCACGAGTGCTCCTAAGGCCTTTACTCTCTATGACATATTCACCGTACCACATATCAGCCCGGTGGTTATGTGAATTATTGCAACCTTTGCGGAAACCCCTTGTAACATATACTGTTTCTGATATATTCCAGTTTGTCAAGTAAATTACTGATCCAAATTTAACTGGTAAGCACCTCGTCTCTTTTAATGTTACTTCTGATTCACAAATGTTCCACTCATTGAGACTATTTATTGACTTTAAATGCACAGGAGCTAACAGCATACCCATCCCATACATCGGGATTAAGGAAACCGTTGCTTTTATGTACTAAAAATGGGTGTCTATACCGCTAGGCATTATTTATTTATTTATTTAAACGCATAAAGAACTTGGTACAATATGGCACCAAGAAAGATGCGCTACACAATAATAATAAAACAACATAGGTTAAAAGAAAAAAATAAAGAAAGAAGAGAAAAATATATATATAAGTAGAGAACGAATAAAGAACTCCATCTGGAAGGAAAACAGACATGCTTAACAAGTTCAAACAGTATTCGTTCACTATCATCGGGAAGGGAAGAAAGAAGGAAATTGCAACACGTGTAATAGCACGCGGTAAGTTTCATTGATCGTTTGTTGCTTTATTCAATTCATTGTGTGAGGGCTGAGATACTGCCCGGGCGCCCAGACCGAAGCAGGTGGTTTTATTAAGGGACCACCCCCCACCCGAGCCTTTGACTTGGAGTCTAATCCACAAGGCAGCGGAGCAGCGACAGGAGCTGCATTCCCATGGTTTCCGGTGACCCATATGGGTTCATACGCCATTTGATCCTATTGGATACTGGAGCCCATGTACCCCATGGTAACTGCTTTTAGTTTAACCGTTAACCAAACACCTTCCTGACATGGTAGGACCTGCGGTGGCAGAGTCTGTGGAAGCAGATCAAAAGCTGAAGACATGTTGACAAAATCCAACTCATGCGATCCGAATCTCAACTTGACAACAGAACACGAGGAAAATGATACCACTGAATTCCTAGATGTTTTTTTCTAATGAAAATTACTGATGGTACTACATTGGAAAGATCTATATTTAAAAAGTCTTCATAGAAAGGACACTACATACGTTTCAAAATTTTGTTCCAATCCAGTATAAAAGGAAATTATTCCAAATACTGTTCAACAGATCACAGAAAATTTGTTATGACAGTACAACAAAACATGAAATTAAAGGCTCTGAAGGATATTTCATCTAGGAATAGAGATATCCTGAGAAGTTCATCAATAACTTCTCTAAAGAAATGAACCCTAGTAAAACAGTTCCAAAAAAATGTGTCTTTATTAATTTACCAATCAAAGGAGAGGATGTTGGAAAGGCACCGTTGAAAGCATTTGTTCCCTTGAGACGTAGGCTTTTTGGTACACGCTCAGAAAATCGAAGGTATGCACTTCTTTCTGTTCTCCCCTTGCCATTGCTAAACATCTCCATGACACGGGTCATGAGGTGTCTCAAGGTCGTTAAAAATTGTCAATGGGCAAAAGAGTTCAATTCTCCTCAGGTTTGCAAAAATAAAATCTCCATCAAGCTCTTGAAGCTCGATTTATGTATTCAGAAGGAAACAGTTATCATTCATCATTTGCCATGATAGCTAGATGTTTTCATCCTCTCTTTCATTCGCGTACGTAACGCTAAAAATCCCATTCTTTATGGTTATTACTGTTTAGAACTGTTTAGAGTGATTATTATCACTGTCGCTACCACTGTATGCGTACATTGACTTTTTGTTTAAAAATCAACTTTCTGTGTATTTAAAACTTGAACAAAGCAAGAACTACAGTTTTAGCAGAATAAAATGGTACCATCTTTTATTTCGTTGGCTTCTCGTCAGCTGCTTACAGGGCAAAGACATTATTAAATAATGTCTTTGCCCTGTAAGCAGCTGACGAGAAGCCAACGAAATAAAAGATGGTACCATTTTATTCTGCTAAAACTGTAGTTCTTGCTTTTTTCAAATTGATTGTGTAAAAACTGTAGTTTAGATCAAATTTACAGGGTGAACACACTGATAAATTATAAATAGACAATAAGAGGTCATTTACTGATATAAGTATAAAACTTGGACACTGTGGTACAGTGTAACTCCATTATGGATAAGATTTTATTTTGATAAATCAAACAGTGTTATACAGTAATGTTAACTGATGACCACACGTTTCGAGCACAAACTATTACCCCTTATATTCATATCAAGTCACAAGTTGTGTGAGTGAGTAACTTGATATGATTATGAGTGGCAATAGTTTGTGCTCGAAACGTGGTCGTCATCAGTTAATATTACTGTATAACAGCACTGTGTGACAGTTTATCAAAATCAAAATCTTATCTATAAAAAGGGCATTTAGTTTCATGTCCGGAGTGAGATACACTCTGTGATAATCACCTGAGCCACATCTGTCAGTTGACAATGTTCCTGATCGGTGTAAATCTTCTCAGAGGCCAAGTGTTTCCTTTTCATATGTTACCTGAGTGAGTAATTCCCTTCTGTCAATGCTAAAGTTAGTAGACACAATAATTTTCCTAGTTAAAAATACTTCTCATTTGTCAATTTGTTTTCTCATTAAACTCTGTTACCATAGTTACTGTTCAATCGACGTGACTACGGGAATTTATCAGCCTACGGAGTTTTAGCGAAATACAAAGGTCATTCTTTTACAATCAAATTAAAGAACAGCCTCGTGGGGAGGCAAACGAGGTGGAATCCTGAAATCATACTTAGTGCTGGTGCCATAAAAACTCCAGAAATTCTATTAAGTTCTGGTGTAGGTCCAGTTGAAGACTACAGTAATAATAAGGTGAGTTTTTGGAGAGTCGTTTGATCTTAACGAGTAATACTGTTTTGTTTGGACATGAGTATCGATCGGTTGGATACCTGTTGCCTTAATCCTCTTCCAATTTCCACTGTTCCGAGTGGAACATGCGGTTTCTAGCTTCAAAGTTTAAATAGAGGTGTCTTTATCACCGCTAGGCTAGGTTTGCCGGAGGACGTCGACCGGAATAAAAATAATAACGAACCTGTCGCCAGACTAATAAATATTTAGGATGAAAAGTAGTTAGGTTAGGCCTACGCTCCAGATTCTCGAGTGGAATCCGAAATGGGAAACGGTGGTCTGAGCATGATAATATTCAGCACGAATGTGAAGTCAGTTAATGCTTCTGTATGGATCAGAAACTTGGTGCGTGCATCATTAAAATAAAATCCAGCAGGCTACCGCAGGCTTTTATTAACAACAGGCTTTTCTGGTTCCATATTGAAGATTAAATTCCCAGATACAGTTAGCAATAAAGAGCTCAGGAGATGAACCAATTAAGAATCTATCGTTCAACAATTATTACGAAGAAAATGCTGGTAGATCAGAGTTATTTTGAGGAGACCATTGGGTAGCATTGCGCGAGTGTAATGCGAATGGAAAACGAACAATTGAGAGTGGATCCAACCGTGATATGGAGAAGACAGTGTGAGAGACAGGTGAGGAACTATGGGCAATCGTGCAGTCTGTCAAAAAGGACTGTAGAGAACAGAATAATGTGGAGAAACGCCTTATGTTCAACTAGGAACTTCAGGGAGTAATAATAATACTTATCACGCTCATTATATCGCGTTGAACGATAGTGTCGGAATGCCCTCCAGGCATGCAGGTAGTCTTGGTTCCACTTGCGGCCGGTGAACTCGTGGAGAACTCACCTGGGATTATCAGACAGCTGTTTCCGTAGTTTTAGTTTGGGACTTTTCATTAGCACGCCCCACCCATCAGGGTTCGAGCACAGGACCTTCCGATTAAAAAGGCGATAGCCACTCATGATCAAATTGGTGACCGATTAAATGCCTGCAAAATAACACTTGAAGATTATTGATATTAGAACAAGTCATATAAGCGAAAAGCATTGTTTTCAATTAGGTCTTCTTTTGGCTTTACTCTAATTTACATAGATTTATATATATAAAAATTTTAACCACTGATGGTGATTTTGTGGATCAAATAATAATAATAATAATGTGGTAAATGTATTTAACGTCATTAATAACGATTATTATAATGATAATAAGGTTTAATGCATGAGGCAATAAGAATAATGAAGGTAGTAATACTTAGAAGACCTGGATTTCGCGCGTGGATGACTTATGTTTGATGTCACACAAAATCGAAGACTTACAAACGAAAACCGACCGACCAACTGGTCGAAGAAGCAACCGGCGAAGACAGGGCTCCAAGTGAACATAGACAAGACAGAGGTTATGAAAATAACCAACAATAACAACAACAGCAACATCCAGCGTCAATCACCATCAACGAGAGGGATTTGAAAGAGGTGACTTCATTCACTTATCTAGGGAGCATTGTCTCAACTACAGGAGGAGCGGACGAGGATGTCAAATCGAGCGAGAATCGGGAAGGCGAGAAACACATTCATTCATCAACCTGAAACCAATCTGGAAGGAAATCTTTGTCACTCAGCATCAACAACAAAATTCCATCGGATTTTCAATACAAACGTAAAGTTAGTTCTTCTATGCGGATCAGAAACTTGGCGGGTCAAAAAGAATATTTCCAAAAGGCTGCAGACCTTTATGTAACAACAACTGTCTTCGCTGGATCTATACTGAAGATCAGATGGCCGGAAAGAATCACCAACAAGGAATTATGGGAACAAACAAAGCAAGAACCAATCGCCCAACAAATATGCAGGAGAAATTGGAGATGGGTCGGACACTCGCTGAGGAGACCGCTGGGTGACATCGCGCGTCAAGCCCTCGAGTGGAACCCGAAAGGGAAGCGGCGTGTGGGACGTCAGCGCAAAGGTGACATGGAGGAGATCGTGTGAAGAGGAGTTGAAAGAATTTGGATTAACATGGATGCAGGCGAAAAGTATAGCAGAAGACAGAAGAAAATGGAGACGTGCAGTTGAAGCCCTATGTTCCACTAGGAACCCAAGGGAGCAATAATAATACGTTTATATGTAGACAATTCAATAAATAAAAAATTACGTAATGCTAAAGGTGAAGTGGATAGATAATCACAGTTTAAATAAATATCATATAAGGACGAAGAAAGTGGAAAATACGAAAGGGTGGGAGGGTTTCGAACAGAATTCACGTAGGCCAAGGGAGAGACAAAGGAAGAACAAACTAAATTAATAGGTAAGATTTTATTTTGATAAATCGCACAGTGTTGTACAGTAATATTAACTGATGACCACACGTTTCGAACAAACTTCTTTTGTATACAAAGACTAGGATTGTTCTCTCGAATTGATTCCCATAGCTTCGGCTGTGAGTAAAATTCTGACCCGAATTCCATTCGAAAGGCTCGGTGGAATGCGATAGATAACTTGGAAGGCACTATTTCTGTCCACTTGGTGACCGCTATCATCAATCAAATGAGCCAAAATCACTGGTTAGAACTGTCACATATATATCTATGTAGATTAGAGTAAAGCCTGAAGAAGATGTAATCTAATCCGTTGATATGACTTGAAGATTTATCTGAGATGCTTCACAACGACTGACTCTATACTGAAAGTGGCCTGGAGTTCTAGTGAGAGGTCATAACCAGTGGGGTCCACGAAGTCAGATAAGAGGACAGACAGTGTTACTCGCCTGTGATATTGGCTGGCAGTTGCACTATATATATATATATATATATATATATAGTTGGCAGAATTTAAAACTCATGGACCAGCGGCTAAATAACCTAAGGACTCGCCTTGTAACCGGAAGGTCCTGGGATCGAACCCCAGTGGCAGTGTACTGCTACTACACAGTCCCGAACAATAGAGACGGCGGTCCAGTTCTCCGCTGTTTCCCACTGACTTTCTAACTGCTAATGTTAAGCAGGGATAAAACCATGAATTATAATTTGTTTACATGACACCACTTATGACCATCATATGTTACTGACTTATTTTCTTTGCCTTCTACAGAAGCCTAATCTTCTCAATTTACCCGTTGGGAAAAATCTTCATGATCATCCAATGATTGGTCTGATATGCTCTGTTGTAAATGGGAAAACATTGACAATGAACAGCTTTAGTGTAGCAGAAATATTTAAATACTTTTGGCGAGGAGAAGGTAAGCACATATCGTGTATTAATCAGGCTCAACCAATTAAGTGAAACAATGTTTTTAAATTCACAGGTGATCTGAGAGTTATTCACTGATGTTTACAGTCTTGTACTGCCTATCTAGGTGGACTGAATAACTAAACACTTAAAAAAATATTAGATAGACTGGTAGTGGTGCATAATTCCCCTAAGGTTCTAGCCTGAAGCTTTCATTATTCAACTAGTCAAGCTGAAGGTACATGCTATTTTGTTACTTTCGATTGTTTCTATACTCACTCCAGTTAGCTAAGCACATTTCAGTTATCCTGCATTTCTGATCCTGAAATATATTTTGAATTTTCGAGGACTAATCTGTTGTTCTAAGTGGCTTCCTACAAGTCTATGGCTGTACAAAATCAATACAATCATGTTTGGGGAGTGTAAACTTGCCTTATTGTATAAGTATATATTGTGTCCTCATCGACAGTCTTCATCTTCTGAAGACTACGGGCATTGCAGTCGTTACATTCATTCTGACAATTTTGATGTGGTTTTGTTCTCTGAGCTGGATGGTTAGTTTGCGAAGCTTTCATCACCTTACTGGGTGACATCTTCAGCGCATACTTCAATTTGAAGTGAGCTTTTAGATTTCTCCACGAGTTTATTAATCATCTCTCCTGGTGACCTTGGACGTGATTGGTTGTTTGTGTGTGTTTTCACACCTTCTAGGTTACTTGTATTGGAACCGGTTGTTTCTTTGACTTGAATTTTGACCCTTTGTCTGTGAAGTTTCTTTCTTATTGGTTGATAAATTTTGTCTATGTCGATGTGTCTATTGATTGATGATTCACTGGAATGCCAGCCAAGCTTCTAAAAATTCTCTAGCATTCTTGTTGTTTTCTCTGTCTAATATTTGAACGTTGTCCCAGTCGAATTGATGTCCGTAGTTGTCTGTGTGTAGTGAAATGAGGGAGTGGATATCATGTCTTTTGACGGCTAGCTTATGGTCGTGGATACGAAGACGAAGGGGACGTCCACTTTGGCCGATGTAGTGTTTTTCGCAGTTGTTACAGTTTATTTTGTAGATGATGTTGGTTTTGTCTTCTTTCGCTGTTGAGTCTTTTGGTTGACATAGAATTGAGTGAAGCAACTTTGTTGGTTTGTGTACGACGTCAACTCCTAAAGGTTTGAAGAGTCTTGTAGTGATTTCTGAGATATCTTTTATATATGGTAAGGCAATTTTCTTTGTGCTTTCCTTGGTGGCTTTTGCTTTGGTAGGTTGGCTTGGGGGTATATGTCTCTTGATGAAGTTCCGTGGATATCCATTCTTTTGGAAGACGTCCATGAGATATTTTTCTTCAATTTTTCTTAAGGTGGGAGTGCTGCAGTGAGTCCTTGCTCTCTTGAATAGTGTTTGTATGCAATTCCTTTTGTGTGTTATTGGGTTGTTGCTGTTGTAATTTAGGATTTGGTCTGTGTGAGTTGATTTCCTATAAACTTGAGTTTCTAATTCTGACAATTTTTCAAACTAGATTTCATCAGAAACTGACATCATTTTGGGATTCGTCACTCACCCCACCAAAAATTTAATCCATGAGTTTTATGTTACGTTGCCAGTCAGTTGACCACTCAGCCTTTTGGACGTTATCCACTGACGCATGAATTTCCAATTCCGCCAATTGCCTGCAGGTAACCTGAAAGTTTCGGGTCTGATCCCCAATGCGGTCGTTAAAGCACACTGCTGGTGAGGTGTCTCGAATTAAGACGAAATAGTTGTCCGCTACTTCCTGATTTTCAATAGTTCTCTAAATGGTGTCAGTTTGTCATTCAACTTGAAACCAGTCAATACCCTGACAACCAACACTTCAAATTAAGACTGATCTTGTTGAATACCGTACACCAGATGGTGGTGGTGGTGGTAGTATACTGCTTACATGCAATGCATAGATGAATTCTCATAAAACTAACTGAAAAATGGTGACAAAATACAACACAATTCAATAAATACAACCAATCAACAAATTTATGAATACAAATAAATACTATGCATGAACATATCAGAATACATACATACTACATACAGGTTACACCCAGTCGGTCACACACACACACACAAACACAAACACGATACACTCACACGCCCTTCGAAATATGTACATCGGTTCAGCCTATAAGTCAACTAACCGATCGATAGATTGTACTGGTAGACTTTTGTAGATAATTCATAAAGGATTACTAGGATTGACAATTCGCCTTATTGATTCTCCTCACTAAAATCAACGGGATATGAACACTTTAATTGCATTTTAGATTTTCCCGTCGATTGATTGGATCGAAGTGCTCGGTCTCAGGTTGACATATCTGTTACCTTCTTGTGGAGATGCTTCGACGATGTCTGGGCATGTAATTAGAAGTTAATTGGTGGATGTCAACCTAAGACCCAGCACTTCGGTCTAATCAATCCATGGGAAAATCTAAAACTGAATTAAATAATTAATATGACCCGTTGCACAAGAGGTGGCTCTCGTGGCCCAAGTGGTCTAGTAGATAACGCTTCGGCGTTTAAAACTATGGGCGCTGGGTTCCAGCCTCGGTGGGAACATAATCACTCACTGCAGAATGCAGGTACATCCAAATGACGAGTCCAAAATGGGACGAAATGCGCTTTATCCTGGATTTCACTGCTAGTCGCCATCCACCAATTAACTTCCTGTGTGAACACTGTTCATTCATGGTTATCAATGTCGTTCTTTTTTGTTTCGTAAATACAGAGAGATGTTTAGATTGTGAAATTTTTTTTGCAAGGCTATTCTGGTGAATTAAATTCACTTTAGATTTCATCAGGAACTAAAAGTAGTTAGAGAATTACTGGGAACCAGAGTATGCTGGAAAGCTGTTTCATGCTAGAGTGAGACTATCCAACAATACTCACTCATGATCCTAATAGGATCATACCCGTAACCCCTCACGTTACGAAGAGAGTTTGGTACCATCCAAACATTGAATAGGAATTCATTGGCTTATGGATTCTAGCTTCTACCGGTTCGATGACTTGTTTTACCTGAAGACGATAACTACTGCGAAACAGATGGTATTTTGTTCTCCTTAATGTCTAGAACGATGACTCACGCCTTTGAGTTTTATCCGTGCATGCGTCACTTAGTACATTCAAGTTTTTGGTGTAGTTAGGCATCGAATTCACAGTATTTCGAGCAGGAGATTATTGACTGGCGAATATTAACTTCCCAGTTCTTTGGGACAATCCATGCTAAGCTGGATTTGCAATCTTTATCATGGCTTATCTGAAATTCAGATCTACCAAAGTTATTGCCAGAAGCCATAATAAGTAACCTAACGCTCTCGTAACTGTAGTCGCAGATTTCACAACCTTTTATGGCTTACAGGTTGTTCATATTTCGACATTCAGGCTCTGAATACACTGAGCTAATAGTTTGCATAGACAAAAACTAATAATAATAATAATAATAGCTTTATTCTGGACAATATTTATATAATGTACAGGACTTTCAGCTGAGTTCATTGCATGATATTTTCCCTTCGTACAATATCTTCAAGGAAAATATTAAATGACAGTATATCCCGTCACACAGTGCTCTCTGAGCTGAAAGAAAAACCACTCCATTTTGATATTTCTGCCTTGTCTCCTCAAAGAGACTCACGACATCTAGTTGAAAGCCAAATGTAAGAAGTTCAGAAGTAAATTTTGAGACACAAAGACATAACTCAAGAACAGTTATCTCATGTACTGGAATACGTGACCACCAACAATCAAACCTTTTCACAAGTTTAGTAGGAACTTGTGAAGCTTGTAAACATTTTAAATACACACAACAGTAGATAATACGATTAGAGGCCACATTTTAAACGATTAAAACAAATCGGACGAGTAGATATATATTTATATATGCAGTAGAGAGATGGAAGTTTTTGATAGCGCAAATTTTAAACAGGCCGCCATCCGAATACCAAATGTGATGTATTAGTGCAAACAAACTCTGTGAAACAATCCTGAGGTCAGAGAACTTGATTAAAATGAAGTAGGTTATCAGACAGTGATACCATTTCAAAATAATATATATACTCAAGTAATCTGAAACCAGGATGATAAACTTAAGTGTATAGAGGTCATGCGTTTTAAGTAGGTCAAAGGTCAATTTGAGGAAACTGAATTCGCTGAAAAATAGATTTTTGGCTGAACTAAGTGTTTTGTTTTCAGAATGCTTCATTTGCATTAGACAAGTTTATATGTAAACCATCGACTGAAATGAAAGTGAACTATTGTAATGAAATACTACATCTGTTTTCGACACAGAAAGTCTCCTCATGTGCGATAAAAGCAACTGATCAACCAGTTGGAAAAAGTAGTGCTGTGCGTCTGTCTTTAGTTTTGCTACACCTTGATGTATTTGAGAAATTTGCACAGATGTTATTCTAAACTGAATGGACTTTCTTAGCTAAGTCAAACCGAGTGCATCGCTGATAAGCTCGGCCGTCAAACAAGCGAAACTGATCTTTGGCCTTTATATCACATCAAGGTGGTTAGCATACACTACTGGTTGATGATTGCATGAACTGTAACAGACATTACATCGGTCAAAGTGGGCGTCCCCTTTAAGTCCTAATCCAAGAACACAAATTAGCTGTGAAAAGACATGCTATATATTCTTTCATATCAATGCATGTAGACATTTATGGGCATCAATTTGATTAGGATAATGTCGAAATTTTAAACAGAGGAAACACCAAAAATACTGCCAGAAAATTCCTAGAAGAAGCCTGATACTCAAACGAATATGCAATTAACAAACATGTTAATATAAACCAATTATACTAACTAATAAAAGGTAAATCATGTAACGAGAAAGTTCAAAATCCAAGTCAATAAAAAATGATCAATACAAGTGTAAAGATGATTACCAGGAGACGCAATTCTGTCATTCATGAAAAATTTAAATCAGTTCACTTTATGCTAAAACTTGCGCTGAAGATGTCCAGAAGGACGACGAAAGCTCCGCAATTAAACCGACCAGCTCAGAGAACACTATTAATTGTTTGAATAAGGCATTAAGAAGACAAATTTCGCGAGATGATATCATTTCGTAGTTTCTTTACAATCGCTTTACAACTAACATGGTTAACAATGATAAAATAAAGTTCATGAAAATTACTCAGTTAAATAAAAACAAAAGTACATACTAATGACCAATCATATTAAGATAGGTCACACTATTAATTGTTCTGAATGGTATTTAACTATTCATATATCAGCCATTCAATAGTATTATACAGCGCGTCATGTATTCTTCTTAAACATGCATTTCTTTCCCCCCTTTTCAGGTATCCTTTCACAAGCATCAGCAGTGACTTCTATTGGATATCATCGAACTAGTTATCAGAAGGTGGTGAACGACTCTCGTCCGGATATACAATACACAATTATTTCCGCTTCGCCATTCGAGAAAGACACCTTCAAAATTGTCAGTGAAACATTAACAATAACCTTTACCTGTTATAACAGCTGGTGATTATTTAGGTTTTTTGTATAATAATTGGGCATTAAAAGGCATTATTGTTTAATATATATATATCTTCAAGAGTGTAAAGAACTACGGGACGCGGACGCTACAATGACCCTGAGCGCATGCTGTTCATCGGACAACGAGGCCTACCATTATTATAGCGTCGGTCTTGTTTTTAAATACTTTTGGGATAATGGGTTGGTAACCCGTTGGGGTTACAGTTGGGATAGGATTAGGGTTCGAGTTGAGATCACGGTTTTGATTAGGATTTCGCATACGGTAAGACTTAGGGTTAGGATTTCAGAGGTTTTGGTTAGGTTATTTTATTTCCCTTATCTGTATTCTCCTGATAAATACACTCAGGGTAGTGATAATTATTATCAGTATTTTTCTGGTACATAAACGGTATTTTAATACAGAAGACACTGTTTTTGCTGACTGGTCGCCGCAAGGTCAATAGTGCGTTCGTATAACTTGGATCGTTACACCTTAACTTTGCCGTGAGCCGATCGAAAACTGAACCCGGATGACATGGCCCCTGGACTCTAACTTCTGCCAATCCACGATATAGCGCAACCGCTAGCCAATGTCTTCGGTCAGTATTTGTCCTCACACCCGACTTGCTGCACCCTACTGGTTACGACTTCCCACTAGAAATCCTGTAATCAATCAATCAATCAATCAAATCCCTACAAACCAATACGTAAATATCAATGAGATGCCCACTGGTGACTGGCCTTATTCAGGTAGGTAGTTATCTGGGGTTCTAGTGGGAAGTCGTAACCAGTAGGGTGCAGCAGGTCGGGTGTGAGGACAAATACTGACCGAAGACATTGGCTAGCGGTTGCGCTATATCGTGAATTGGCAGAAGTAAGAATTCATCGGCAGTTGGATCGGGTCCCAGTGGCTAATTGGTCTACGAGCTCGCTTGCTTTGTGACCAGAAGGTCATGGGTTTGAGTCCCGGTGGGTTCGTACTGACAAAGAGTCCTAAACTAGGACGAAATATAAGTATAAAACTTGGGCACTGTGGTAGAGTATAACTCGATTATGGATAAGATTTTATTTTGATAAATCACACAGTGTTGTACACTAATATTAACTGATGACCACGTTTCGAGCACAAACTATTGCCCCTCATAATCATATTAAGTTAACGAAATAGCTGTCCACTACCCCCTGCAGTTTTTCCAATGATTCTCTAAACAATGCCAGCTCATGATGAAATCCTGAAACCAATATATTCAAAGAAAATTAAACGAGAGAGAGAGAAGAAAAAAACTAAGAAGTTGACATGGTAACATTAGTTTGCATTTTCTTTCTTTTTTTCGTCTGCTTGTTTACTTTGTTTTCGTTCAGAATAAGCAGATCAGAATTTGTCAGAGTAAACAAATAACGAATAACAAATAAGTCGGTAGTGAATAAATTAGTGTGAATGAACTTGGCGCGGGAAAAATAAACGTATTTTAGTTTGTCACTATGTACATGCGTATATGTGTGTGTGTGCATGTGTGTCTCTCAGTTATTTAGGAAATAACAAATTGTACCAGAAAATATAGAGTGCTATATGTATGCTAACTGTCTAGAGCCTAGTTTCAAAACAGGCAGAGGGAGAACCGTTGATTATAGCTTTGACTACGAGTTGACATCAATTAGAGAACTATTAAGGAGTGGAAGTCGACCAAGTCAGATAAGAGGTTATTAGATCACCTATGACACTGGCCGGCAGTTGCACTATATATATGGTGAATTGGCAAAAGTCGGAATTCAAAGTCTGGTAGTTGCATGGTGTCCCAGTAGCTGAATAGTCTACCAGCTCACCTTGTAACCGGAAGGTCTTAGGTTAGAACTGCAGTAGGGGTGTGCTTCTGAATAATTCCAAACTAGGACATCAGAGACAGCTGTTCAGTACTCTCTACGGGTTTTTCAATAGTTCTCGAAATGATTTCAACCCGTGGTCAAAAGTGTAACTCTATGAACCAACACTTGACAAAAACGTCGGTCACATTATTGATTTTTGATGCTTTCATGGTGTTTCAGTGATGGTAGTAGTAGTAGTAGTAATAGTAGTATGCTCGCTAACCACTCATCTTCGGGTTTGGGGTCCGTTTTTTCTAGTCGACTTATTACTGAAACCTCACCTGGTTTTCTAGCCGTTAGTCAGCCTGGAAAAGAAGGATGATTGAGTGTGAGACTATAAACTCCTCTCCATCAAACAAACCACTCCTACTGAATGGAATTCTTGATTTTCCCGTCGATTGATTGGACCGAAGTGCTCGGTCTCAGGTTGACATGTCGGCTTCTTGTGCAGATGATTCGACGATGTCTGGGGATTTCATTTGTATACAATTGGTGGATGGTGGCTAGCAGTGGAATCCAGGATGCGCATTTCGTCCTAATTGGGACTCGTCAGCTGGATGTACCTGCATTTCTCAGTGAGTGGGAACATCATCACTGCTAGCCACCATCCACCAATTGTATACAAACCACTCCTACACTGAAACTACAAACATTTACACTTGGAACATCTCCGTGTTCTACTTGAAAGATGATGAAAGAATGAAGGAGAAGGCATTTAAGATGGGAAAGGCATTGATAACATTAGCAACGACAAAACTGCTAATCACGAGAATATATGAACATCTGTGAACAATACTCGTCAATATAGCATTGCGATTATTGTCCCCCTGGTTTCCGAGTGGAACATAGGGCTTCGGCAGCACATCTCCATTTTTTCCTGTTCTCTTTAGTCCTATTTAAGTGGTCCGACGATTTCCCACAGGCTATCATTTTCCCTTCAAACGATCTCCCAAGTTTCACCCTCGGATTCCCCATTCGCCTTTTCACATTCCGGTTCACCTTGAGTAGGCAATGAAATTTTATGAGCAATCATGACAATGGTTGAAACAGACTGCGGAGAACACAGTGAATTGGCAATGTGCTGTCGAAGATCTATCATGTAACTCTACAAAGTTCTCCTAATAACTTTTCCCTTGTGTTACCATTTGCACTCACTTTTAATTTATGTAACACAAGTATATTATGCTTTACAGCTGGGCAATTTTCAGCCATCTGCTTGGGATAAATTCAGTAAAGATGAAAATGGGGAGAATTTCGAAAGTCCTATCATCTTATTGGTCGGCCTAATCAATCCTCGTTCAAGAGGTGAACTAAAGATACAGAATAGTGCTAACAAAAACAATAATAAGGGTAACAACTGTGAAAATGGACAACTGGACATTAATCCAGCCTACCTTAGTGAACAGAGTGATCTTGATCGGTTAGTCGAGGGCATAATTTGGATACACCAAACACTTTACTACATCAACGAGGCGAATCAACTCACCCAGTCCACAGTGACTACCAATGAGAAACCAATCAGCATAAAGCTACATTTGCCAAGGTATTCGGGTTGTCCACAAATTCCAAACGTCAATAGCTCAAAAGACTTTGAGTCAATTAAATTTTCTAAAAAACTGAAAGCAGCTGTTACCTGTCTAGCCAAATCAATAACTCTTTCAAACTACCACTTAGTAGGAACATGCAGTATGAAATTACCGAATGCAAAGTTTTCACCGGTTGTTGAAGACAACTTCAAGTAAGCTGTCAGTTTTGTTATCCTTATTGTTACTAATAAGGAAAATTTTAAAAAACTGAAATTGGTTTAAGTAAAATTTAACAAATTTCATGGTTCTGTGACAGATTTCACTCCCTAACCTCACTTGAAAGGAGTCAAATCCTCGCAAATCACCACTTAGGAATTTATCCTATGGTCGCTGATGATAGTGAATGACTACAGGACTCAATTACCTAAAGTTCTAATAAGAAGTTGTGACCAGTGATATTCAACGGGTCATTACATCATAAATATGCCACAGAAAATGGTTATAGATAGATTGGATGGATACACGCTGACAAAACCGCTGCGTGACAGCACACAAGATCCATGGACGGAACCCGACTGGGAAACGATGAGTTGGACGTGTGTTCGAGGATGACACGGGGGAGATCATGTTGAGAAGAAGATGAGACCGTTTGGGAATCGAGCAGCCAGCTTTATGAGGACTAAAAAGAGCAGGGTGAAATGGACATATTCGATTGAAGCCCTATGTTCCACCGGGAGCCCATGGGACCATAATAATAATTATTATTATTATATAGAAAATGCGTGATGTTTGCGAATAGTGTTCATACTATTGAGGATTGTCATTACATTCCTATAATTAGGTTAGCACTTAATACTGAAATACAAAAAAATATAAACTCAGCCCTAAGTGACCATTCTAATAAAAGCGAGACATCAACTGTATCATATTTTGTGTAGTGTTGTTCATCTAGAACTATTGTCTCATTATACCTCAAAGTTTGTGCGTAACTGAAGTTCTGGAGAATGAAGACTGAAATGTAGCAGAAGGAGGAGGGTTTTGTTGCCTATGAGGTAACAAAAGATGGATAAGGTTGTCGTTTTACTATTGAATTAGCAACTAACCAGATTTTTGGAGTCCATGCTGGTCGTTAATGTTAATAACGAACGAAATTTTCAGTTTACGCCATAGATTGACATCAGTCAAAGAGCCATTGGACGCCGACCAATACTCAACGGTTGATTCGTTAACTTGGGCACTCCTCAGATGTAAGAACCCATCACTTTCAGGTTACTAAATAAGGCTACTACCAGCTACTTTTATTCGCGAGTATTTTTCCTCACATATGACTTGGACTCAGCTACGTAAAACAGATGTTTTAATGTACCGCGCTATGAGTTACACTTATTGTGTAAGGGCTGATAACACCAGTTGGTTGCCTAAACTCAAATAGATGCAGCGGTTTTCTATACTTCCATTATGACTGAAGGGATATGCAGGCAAAACACTGCTGATACCTGATAATTCTATCTAGGCGTTTAAAGTGAAGCTGCACGCATACCTGCTACCCATAGTCGAAGCCGCCACTAACCTCCAATGAGCTTAAAATTTTAACTGTGATAAGGTCAGGCAAACTATGCAGAATTAATTCACTGACAGCACAAACTGAATAATTTATCAGATTGTCACTGATAAATAGTCAAACAGTGTGATACACAGTCCATTTATGTCACCACTGCTTCCTGATACCATGATTAGTTCGACTGGTTTTTATTCACCTTCATAAATGACACCCAAATTTTGCCACGATTACGAAAATGGTGTAATGTCCAATTAAGTGGGTTTTAGAAAAAAAAACAAAGTGAGCACATGTACATGTAGCTGTCGAGTACTGATTGGTTTCCAGTGGTTCTTTAGTTGATTTCAGTCCGTGACAAAGCCCTCCTGCTACATTTCAGTCATAATTATTCAATACCTCATTCCCACACAGACTCTTATTCATAATAAGAGATTTGTTTCAAGTTTCAATCATGGGCTGACATCACTAAGGTCCTGGGTTCGAACCCCGGCGTGTGTATGTGTTGCATAAGAGTCCCAAACTAGGATGATAGGGACAGTTGTGCAGCACTTCGTTGTTTTTCAGTTAGCCCTCTAACTGATGTCAGCTGTTAAAAGCAAGAGCTAATGATGAGAAATATACCACAGATTCATACAAGTGTTCATTGGAAGAAGTTGAAACCTCAAAGCTGGGAACCTTTCTTATGTTCCACTTTGAATATAGAGGAATGAAAACAAAAGATGAAGTTAGTGCTTAAGATGTCAACATCTATGACGATTAGAAGCAGACACATATCATGGTTGTTTGAACAAACCGAAAATTTCTCCGGTACTCCTCTTCAATAACCAAAATGCTGTCATGTTTATTGCCAGTCAAGCATGCTGAGTATTTCATCAAGACTTCGACAAATGACTCAGTGGGTGAAAAACAAAGGCTGCAAGACATTCTAAGGTGAAGAAAGTGTCATCGAGCTCTCTCTCTCTCTCTCTGCATGTCTACAGCTTTCATTAAAATTCAATGCAGCTATTCAGTTGACCACAGTACCTTTTCATACTTTCTCCTATAGCTGCTTAACTTATGCAGGTGTGTATATGTGTGTTCAGCAAGTGCTACTTTCAGAACACAAACCCGAATTAGTTAGTAGAGTTCTGATTTGTTTCACGTTTGACTATGGATTGATATCAGTTCAAGAAACTGTTATAACTCCGGTGCAATCATTTGTTATAACTGCACTAAACTGAATAAATCCGTCGCTACTTTGTTGTGTCTTTGCCTGTTAGTTACTATAACGGTAATGAACTCCACTGATATACTAAATACCTTCCAATTCACTGAGCCACGCAAATATCAAAAGACAAATGCTAGACCGTGACTGTAAGATATTGTGTTATGTACTATACTACACTATATAGTTTAAGAAACAACACATGATATATCTATACATCTTCTTAACCATAATAATCAAGGTGATACAAAAGAAAATGAATTGGTCACATGCTAAATCACATTACGCTTTAGAAATGATACATTAAAACATAGTAACTCTGTCACAAGATAAATCACACGATTCGTGAGAAAGGATGATATACACTATTTTAGTCTGGGTAATATTAGAAACACTGAAAATCACGGAGTACTGGACATCTGTTTCGTCTCAGATTATAAAGCACGCTAGTGACAGACTACAGGACGAAGTTGCTTGGAGTTCTAGTAAGAAGTCGTGACCGGTGGAGTCAGACCGATCGGAAATGGGGATAAATACCCACAACTGATGCATCACCGGTTGCTGGTGGCGCTAAACTCATGAATTGCTAGAAGTTGGAATTCATGGGCTATGTAACCGAAAGGACCCGGTGGGGAGTGCACTGACGATGAGTCCCAAACCATACGGAAAAAAATCCAGCTGTCTAGTACTCAGTGGTTCTAAAACTGATACCGGTATTGTCTACCACAGATAAATGAGTGAACCAGGTCAACTATGAGTCCGAATAGCTCAGTGGTAGCCCCTGTGACTGCAGCATTGGGTGATATAAGTTCCTTACTGATGAGTGTAAAATTTAGGTCCAGGGATTGCTATTGCTATTGACTGCCTCCATTTATCGTGTATATAATAAATGCAGACAGTCATTTGAATGATTTTCATCACCATCATTATTCTCTTCTTCTTCTTCTTCTTCTTCTTCTCCTTCTCTCTTCTCTTTTCCCCCCCTCCAGATTAATCGGAGTGAATAATGTTCGTATCGGCGATGCATCGGTTATTTCAAAAATACCCAGCAGTAATCCTGCTTCACTTATTATGGCTATCGGTAATCAATTAGCTAAATATGTGATAAATGAAGGCTGGCAATAGTCGCCTTTTGAGGCGGGCTGAACGCGAAAAGTGTCTTTAAATGTGCAATATATTGAAATCCTCAACCAAACTTGTGAATGACTATGCTGAGGTGGGACCAATAAGAAAACAAAAAAGACATTAATTGAAAGGTACTCACGCTGATTGTCTCTCTTATTTTCAGTTTATTCAAACAATCCTTGAAAAAAAAATGAATAATCAAAATTATTTCGTCCAATATTCAATGACGCGGGTTTACTGACTAGTTCTCTATCAGCTTTCATTCACGCACACACACACACACATATGCACAGAAGACTGTGACACAAGCCATTATGATTAGAATCATTGCACATATATTCATCTACTTGTATGTATTATTAATATATTGTTGTTATTATTGTTATCTTTCTCTTGGGTTTCGAATAGAACATCGGGCTTCAGCACCGAATCTCCATATCAATCTGTACTCTCCAGTTCTGTTTAGTTAGCCAAACGATTTTCTATAGGTACTCACCTTCTTCTTACATGATCTTCTTCATGTCACCATCAGGTGCCCAACTTGTCATATCCTATTTGGATTTTATTCAATGGCTAATCTGGAGGGTCTCCGATTCATCTTCATTTCCTTCTGCGTATTTCTTTGCCTGACAGTTGGTCCATGACTGTTTCACTGTACTGTTGAGTGAGTTCCTTGCTGATTATTCTTCAGCAGGGAGCCAACTTTTTTTATTTTTTTTTATTTTATTTATTACAGCTTGATTCCACACCATATTTTTGGCACAAGTATGGAATTTTCAGCGTGGATATCGGTAGCCCAAAATTCGCAGGCCAACCATAGATATCAGGTGTGCGTCGGCGAGGGCTCGAACCCGGACCATGTGCATGGTCGCCGAGAGTCCTAACCACTGTGCCACCGACGCACTGAAGCACTTGTCGATAAAGGTCTGAAGCCTTTTTCTTGGGAATGCTTTTGATGACATGATAGCCAAGTGTTATCTCATACTGATTTTTAATCCAATATCTAATCGATTCCACACATGTATGTAAATGATGAAAAACAGTTGTGTGAGTGAGTAACTTGATATGATTATAAGGTGCAATAGTTTGTGATCGAAACGTGGTCATCAGTTAATATTAGTGTACAACACTGTGTGATTTATCAAAATAAAATCTTATTCATAACGATAGCCAAGTCTCTGAACCATATGAGGGCACTGAATTGACATCAGTTTGAAGATATGTATCTTGTTCCCTATGCTGACTGCACTAGATTATCAAACCTATTTTAGAGTAGCGAACAACTATGTTGCAAGTTCTAGGAGTGCATCAGCCAGGAATCGAACTCCGATAGCATATGTGACTGACGAGGAAGATTTATTAAACACTGTTGTGGAGAAACTTATTTTTAACTTGATTTTGCAATCTCTTTTTCCTTCTGAATTAATTTAGTGTGTCACGTCCACAGCTCACTAGCACGAAGTCTTGAGAATTCACTAGCCGTCAATACAGTTGTCTCTGGTTACAACAGAAAAAAAAATCTTGAACTTATAATTACAATGACTACTGTTCGTAACATCGACAAAGTTAGTCATTATTGACCAGTTGAATTCTAACCCAGCAGATCAATGTTAAGGATGTTTCATTCAATCCTGATGGGGATTTATAACTGCTGACTGCTAAAATGAACAGTAGTCAGTCGAGAAATAAGAGGAAATACAGCTTCTGTCTTTACCTTATTCACCCAGCTGTTCAACGCCATCAATCGTTGTACTATAAACATTTTAGTGAAAAGTATATTATTATTCCCATAGTGAAATTTAGAACAACACATTTAAGCGAATAATATTGTCTTCAATTAGATCTCATTAGGCTTAAATCTATTATACATAAGTTTACAAATAAAATACAAAATATAAGCCAATCATGGTGTTTTGTCTATAGGATAATAAGATGGTGAATATCAATTGTGCAATTAGTCATATTAGTAGTAATGATAATAGTGATAATAATAATACTGGTTTTATCAATAAAAAAGGATGAAAAAGTGAGGCAATCTGTAATAACACAAATGATCAAAAAACAGCATTGATTAAACAAACAAATGTGTTCAGGTGGAATAAGTCGATAAAGGCTAGTAAAAACAAATGAACCGATTAAGTAATGCTAGACTGATTGTAAAGGAAGTAAATGGCTGGAGACAACTCGCGATGTGGCTCAAAATCTTCCTCAATGGCGCAGATATATTCACTCACTCCTTGTGATGCATAATTTCCAATATTAGTATTCTTTTTGCCTCATATCTCTCTCTGTTCAGTGTCTCTGTTTCGCGTTTCTTTTTACTTTCTTCTCTTGCTTTGTGTGTGTGTGTGTGTGTGTGTGTGTGTGCTACCAGGAGGGAGTGTGACGACTCGAACTGCTGCACATCGGTGCAAAGTTCTTTGTTGAAACCAGTCAGTTAGACAGTCATCAAAACAATTAACTAGTATAAGGTAAATATTCATTTAGACATTTAGAAGACAAAAGGAAGTTTTATCAAAGAATGCTCTTTTTGATAATTCCCCTCTTTCGTTTCTACACAGAATATTCCAGAATAATCGTTGTAAGCGCAATATATCGCTTGAAATTAAGTCACGCGTAGATAAAGGCTATCCCGGGTTCAGAACAAACAAGAAGCCGGTCACTGTTTCTACGGTACTATTAATAAACAAATCAATAATTGTATATACAACAAACCTTAACGGTTTCAAGAGTACAAAGCACAACGCTTAACAGAAAGCAAGGTACCGCTATCAGAGCGGAATACAACGTTAAAGCCAAAATTGCGAACTAGCCGGAACCAGACACGACCGTTCAGGTAAGCAGTCAGTAGAAGAATGAACCCAAGTAAGGCAGGGCATAGAACAGAGAGCGTTTAAGAGAGATAGACCGAGCATAGGCACAAAGATAGAATTTAATTGGCTACTTAACCAGGTAGGAAAATACAGATGAAAAAATCAATAAATAAGGTAAACTCGACAGAATAGTACAAAGTAAGACATGGGTCAGCAAAAATAACAGTTCAAAAAATACTCTGATTGGGTCGTGAGTTCAACTGTCTGACTAAACGGATCGATGTAAAAGCACACACACACACACACAGTTTATTAAAGAAGGGGGGATAGACACTTTAGGCATGGATAGTTGGGTTGCAACAACGCTAGGCTGATCCGGGACAGGTTGGCTTGATTCAAGGATGGGAATAGAATTGATCTTACAATCGTCATTTGTGAAGATAACAATGGGAAAACTACAATTCATGAAAGATGAATAGGCTATAATGAGAATAAAGATGTAATAGTAAATAGAATATCGAAGTAAATTAAAGAAATCCCTAAAACAAATTAAAGATCATTAAAACCTTGATGGTCAGGGTGGTAAGGAAAACGTCTGAACTAAAACAGCTTCATCAACATGTAATAGCAGAACTCTTAAGGTAAAATTAACCTTTAGTTGGTGTACGGTAGATGAATTTGAAGGCCTTGTTTACATCAATTTTGTGTTTTGTATCTCCAAGATCAGGCAGTGTAGAACTATGAATGAACTTTGTTTCTCGCCTACTTAAGAAGACTGATTTTTTGGGAACTATGGGTACTTTCAATTGTTTACTAGCTGAGTTAATGTGTCGGTTAAAAATTTAGTCGGATGTCTGTTTCTACTCAGCAGATCATGAATAGTATCATGTTTGTACTGTAGAGGCACGAAACTCAGAAAATGAGTATACTGTCTAGTTGAAGCAGGTTTCATACGAGCTCGCCTTGTAACCATGAAGTCCTGGGTTCGAACTCTGGCGGTGGGTGCGTACTGCTGAAGAGCCCCAAACTAGGACGAAACAGCTGTCCAGTACTGCCTGCAGGTTTTTCAATGGTTCTCTAACTGATGTCAGCTCATGATGAAATACTGTAACCAATCAACCATATCCCTACAAACCAACAATACTTGAATTCCTACAAAATTGTCTACATAATGTTCACTCTGTTTTTTTAGTCATTAGGACATTCAAAAACGATATCGAGTCATTTTCTTCTTCTTCTTTAGCGAATATTATGGTAGGATGCGCTTTACTGAATCCCTCCAGTCTGTCCTTTACTTCACTTTCTTTTCTCAAAACTATAAATGTATCATTGACTTAACGGCAATAGAAGTCAGGATCATGTAATACATGCTGTAGCTTCGCCAGGAGAAAGTCTTCTAGGATAGGGCTTGGTGGTGATCCCATGACAATGCCATCATATTCTTGGTAAAAGAAAACGCAGTGGAGACATAATGTGTACTCTGCTTAACACCATGAAGGTTAAAAAATATTTTTAATGTCCTGCGAAATGATGGGAAGTGGTAGTAAGATTAGAACAGGTGGTCGCCAAACTGATGCCAAGGGAGTGCTTTACATGTGCGACCACCCAAAAATCCATAAGCAAGATGTTTTTGATTGCACACTAGTCAGTAGCTAGTGTAATGCGTCGAGTCCTATCGTCGCTGCAGACTGAATTCTATCAGTCAAGCTTGCAGTGTGTCCACCATGCTAGGTGGCTCGTCATTACGGTTCATTGTGAATTGTTGGTATTAGATGGTTGGAGGCAATCCGCCGCAGGAAGCCTTGGACCTAGGTTTCGTGCTAGTTGGCACTCGCCAATCAGCAAGGCGTATCTGCAACCTTGAAGGAACTCATGTCCCTTCTGAGATTCAAACCCGCGTGCTCTTTGGGCACGCGATTGACCTCCTGTAGGACTATATTCCATATTTTTGATCGCACACTGCGGCACTGGGTGACACGGGTTCGAATCTCAGTAGGGACTTGAGTTCCTTCAAGGTTGCAGAAACGCCTTGCTGATTGGCGAGTGCCAACTAGCACGAAACCTAGATCCACGGCTTCCTGCGGAGGATTGCCTCCAACCATCTAATACCAACAATAAGCAAGATATCCCATAAGCACTACACTTTCGATGATCAACTCACCTCAATATAAAGTTGTTAGTTGGCTTACAGAGATGTTGAACCCTATTAATCAGCGGTTATCCGTATAAACAGTTGAAGACTTACTTCATCTGGCCGAAAGTCTGAGGGACATGAACGTTTCCAGTCATCTGAGGTAACCGCTTTATTCAAAAGCATTCCAATTCATGAAACTGTCAACATTATCTGCCAGCATTCTGAAGTGTTCATGTTGCCAGTGATGAAATTTAAACGCCTACTACTAATGTACACCATGGATGTACAATGTCAATCCGATGATACCCTTTACTGTCAAACAGTTGGTGTTGTCACCGAAA